GAGGAGCTGGAGGACATGCTGGAGAGCGGGAAGTTGGCCATCTTCACGGATGACGTACGTCAGGCCTCTCTGTCCCACAGTTGGGAGGTCCCCAGCAGCCAATGAGATACCTAGAACCCAACGAACCCCATGCGGGAGCCAATGAGATGTCCCAAACAGTTGCATGATGTCAAAACCCAGCGGGTCCTCTAGAACCTTTGGGGCTTTTGGAGGTACTTGGTGTCCGTTGGGTCACCTGGAACCCATCAGGTCACCCAACAAGATGCCCCAGATCATTGCGTGACCTAGAAACTGTGAGGTTGGCCATGACCTAGTGGAGTACCTGGAGCCTCATTGGCTCATCCCAAGCTCCCGGACCCCCCCTCTGCGTTCCCACCTGTCTCCTCTCTCTCTCTCTCCCCTACCAGATCAAAATGGACTCGCAGATGACCAAACAGGCCCTGAATGAGATTGAGACGCGACACAATGAGATCATCAAGCTGGAAACGAGCATCCGGGAGCTGCACGACATGTTTGTGGACATGGCGATGCTGGTGGAGAGCCAGGTACGGAGGGGGTGGGACAGAGGGAGGGCTTAGACCCCGCCCACGTTGGGCTTGAGGACCTGCCGGAGTGAAGGTACCGACCCTGTAGATCCCACCCTCCCGCTGAGAAAGAAAACGTGAGGGATCGTTGGATCATCTAGAGCCCATAGTAACTTCTAGAGTCCACAAGGTCATCTAGAATCCATGATCAAAAGCTCTCAAGCCCGCCAAGAGACCGTTGGGTCACCTAGAACCCACCGAACCCCATGTGTAGTGTTCATTGGCTCACTTAGAGGCCATTGAAAGTTCATGAGGCCACCAAGGGCCGTCTAGAACCCACCAAAAGCCATCACTAGGGCTTGTTGGCTCACCTAGATGCCATCGAAAGCTCTTGAGCCCAGCAAGGGTCTCCTAGAACCCACCAAAAGCCATCATTACGGCTCCTTGGTTCACCTAGATGCCATCAAAAACTCGTGAGCCCACCAAGGGCCATCTAGAACCCACCAAGCGCCATCACTAGGGTTTGTTGGCTCACCTGGATGCCATCGAAAGCTCTTGAGGCCGCCAAGGGTCACCTAGACCCCGGGAGAAGCTGGGCGAGCCGGCGGCTGAGGGCCCGGTTCTGGTTCTTAGGGCGAGATGATCGATCGCATCGAGTACAACGTGGAACACTCGGTCGACTACGTGGAACGGGCCGTGTCGGACACCAAAAAAGCCGTAAAGTACCAGAGCAAAGCCCGGAGGGTGAGTGATGGGGGGGGTGGGGAACCCGGACGCCTGGGTCCTTTATGTGGAGGGGGAGGGGCTTCTCCGTAACGTTCTTCTCTTCTCTCCTTTCTCCTCTCCGCGCTGCCCGGACGTCCATTTGTTGGGGTTTTTTTTGGG